TTACATACAGACCAGGTCCCCCAACCTTTTGTCCCCCTTAAAAAAAATAATATTATTGTTTGATCAATATTTTTGCCAAACTTATATGGAGACCACACCCACTCTACGGACCTTTTTTTGGGAAAAATTTCTATATAGCGTCAAGGCTATATAAACAATCAAATTAGAGCCCACCTCAAAACTTTCATTAGAAGATATTTGGTTTGATGCCCAAATATTCTCAAATTGATCACGTCGATGTCAAGATACATGAATATAAGGAAAAGATGGATTTCAAGTTTTAAAATAGTGCATCTTGTAACGCATCTTTGGACCGTCAATTTTCCAGATTTTCAAGTTTTCATAGATCTACTCAATCTACACTATTTTGAAAGTTTTAAATTTTATAATTAGAGATAAAAATATATTGTAAAGCTATCATAAATATTTCTAGTATTGAAACCACATTCTCGACACTATTTAAGGGTGCGTATTACTTTGATTGTTTAGAGCCTCGACTCTACACAAACCGCACCCTTTTTCTTTTTTTTAGTTTTGTGCACCTATACGAACTTTTCAGTGAGAACTTCACCATTTTTTGCTACTTTTTATTTAATTTAGAATTTATGTTTTTATTTTTTATTTAGTTTAAAAATTACGTCAAGATGCATGGATATGAGAAAAAAAAACACGTTTTAGAAATAGTGCATGTTGTAGCGCAAGGATCGTCAATTTTCAATATTTTCAAGTTTTCATAGATTTGCTCGATCTACGCTATTTTTGTAGCTTTAAATTTTATAATTAAAGATGAAAATATATTTTAAGGCTATCACAAAGATTTCAAGTATTGAAACCACATTTCTCGACACTATTTGAAGGTGTACTTTACTTTGATTGTGTAGGGCCTCGGCTCTATACAAACAGCACCTATTTTCTTTTTCAAAACTATCTATGAAATTTTGAAGATTCCAAAATATTCAAAACTCTATAGATTTTATTTTAATTTTTTTAAAAATAAATCCTCTAGTTACTTTTGAATTTTTTGGCATCATTCGTTGAAAAATAAATTCTCTATTTATTTAAATTCGAAAATTTTAAAATGCAAAAATAAATAGAAAATTTATTTTTAAACAAAATTTGAAACTCAATATTTATTTTTAAATTTAGAAATAAATCCTCTAGTTATTTTTGCATATCTAGACATAATTCTATTAAAATCCAAATTTAATAAAAAAAATTAAAAATAAATTACAAAAATGAGAATCACTTCTACAATATTGTCACCCTAATCCAGTTCTGCCTGTTCTGCCTTCCTTTTTGCAGAAAGAACAACAAGGACTTTATGATTGTCCAACAGCTCTTCCCCTGTGAGAATCACTTCTCAAATATCAAAAAGCAAGACGGCATTTTGTCACCCTAATCCAGTTCCTCTCTATCTTGTTCGCGACCTTAGCTTTTCTTGTGGTATAAAAAACTTCCATGCTTTACCTTTTTCTCAAGTGAAAGCATCAAAGACTTTTTTATTTCACGACTTCCCTTCTTTAGGGAAATAATTCTAAAATCAACAATGAGACATATTACTTTTTGGACAACGTTTATATAGAGCCGAGGCTCTAAACAATCAAATTAGAGTCCACTTCAAAAATTTCACTAGAAGAGGTTGTTTTGATGCCCAAATATCTTCAAATTGATCATTTCAACATCAAGATGCATGGACATGAGAAAAAAATTGATTTTAAAATTTGAAAATAGTGCATCTTGTAACGCATTTTTAAACCGTCAATTTTCAAAATTTTTAAGTTTTCATAGATCCGCTCGATCTACACTATATTTTAAGCTTTGAATATTATAATTAAAGATAAAAATATATTTTAAGGCTTTCACATAAATTTCTAGTATTGAAACCACACTTCTCGATACTATTTGAAGGTGCGCTTTACTTTGATTGTTTAGAGCCTCGGCTCTGTACAAACCGCAACCTTTTTCATTATGATGGCATGTTAAAAAAAGGAAACAGATCAGCCCCATTCTGATCAGTATGGATGCTTTTAAAATTTGCTTCACGTTATTTCTTAGCCATTCAACATTTCATGCGAACGTTTTGTGCTTTCAATAAGGGTTCATGTGAAAGAAGTTGTCTTTTTAAAAGGAGCAAAAAGTAAGGGTGCGGTTTATATAGAGCCGAGGCTCTAAACAGAATGGGGGCTGGTCTGTTTCCTTTGTAATACTAATGGGCATCATAATGAAAAAAGGTGTGGTTCGCATGAGGTTGCAACCTTAAACAATCCAATTAAGGTGCACCTCTTAAATTTATTATAAATGTAATTTTGATATAAAAAATAGGAGAAATTTAAAAAAAAATTTCAACTGGAGTGCAGACTGAAAGGAAGATGAGTGGCCCCAGTCTTTGGGGTCTTCAAGCTAAACTTTGATGGCAGTTTGTTAAGAAATTTGAGTCCTGTGGGATTTAGTGGTGTGCTTAGGGATTGGCTGGGGAATGTTATCTTTTCTTATCCTGGTCCTCTTGGGGTGCGTATTGCTAATTATGATGAACTATATGCACTTTTCTATGGTGTACGTATCTTTGTGGCAAGAAACTTTGAGCTTTACTGCATCCTAGAATGTGATTCCATGAATGTCATCAAATGGTGTAAAGGGGAGCAGAAGTTGCCTTGGGAGTTCAAATCTTTGCTTCTTTAGATCTTAGACCTCTCTAGTCCCTTTTCCTTTTCTTTTGAACATGTCTATAGGAAAGTGAATGTTATGGTCGATTCTCTTGCTGAAGGGGGTTCT